TGAGGACAGTGCATGAGGAGTTTATCCAAGGAACGCTGTACTGAAAAATGTTTTTTAAAAATGTTCAAAACAGCATGCCTTCAACATGGACGTGCAGAACTCATTACCTACCAAATCCAACACAGCCCACCATCACTTATTGCAGCCTATCAGGAACTTAGCCCGGCTTATCAAAAAAAAAACCCTTTTCTTTCTTTCTTTCCTTCTTTCATTCCTTCTTTCATTCCTTCTTTCTTTCTTTCATTCCTTCTTTCATTCCTTCTTTCTTTCCTTCTTTCTTTCCTTCTTTCCTTCTTTCCATCTGGAAGTTTACCAAGTAAATGGTTCTCCCAAATATTTTGAAGCCTACGGCCACAAAAACTGGTTTTCTAGAAGGTGCTGTGGCATGCCTTAAACTACGACAGCAGAGTCATCACAAATAGAAATTATTGACATAAATGAATGCTGTAGATACTACTAAAGGATTCCTTTGGCCCCGGTTTACAGAGCCTCAATGACAGACCCCAAGATGCCCAAGGCTACTTTGTGCCCAAGGCTATCTCATTCTGATAATGCTTTATAATTATCCTCCTCCTCCTCCTCCCCCTCCTCCTTTTCTTTTTGAGCCAAGCTCATGCAGTGATTCAAAAATTATGTTAATTTTGATTGGTATCTTTGGTGAGGCTAGAAGGGAATTTCAACCCCAATATTTAAATGAGTCAACAACACATACAGACTTCTTGGATCAACTAATTGCCACGCTCCATTAGAACAGAACTGAGATTTACAAAAGTGTTGACTTGCATACAACAGTTATTTCAATGGCTACGGGTATACATTGAATTTAGGCTCTCGCCCTAAGCTAAATGCCTACATATAAAAGCACTAAACAGACTATATTTTTCTTGTGTTAATTAGGTATTGAAAGGAGTGGGTCCCGACACTGTCAGGTTTAACATGAGGTCTTCCAAACTCAAGGACTGCCTGTTAGCTAGAATCCATGCTAGCTTAAAGGAGTGACTTTAAATAAGTTCCTTGTGAGTTTGCATCTGGATACAGTTCAAATGCAGCCTTGAAACAACTTTGTGTGTCAAGTGAAGTCAGATTTGCTGCTTCCATCTGACGGTTTACAAAAGGAATAACAGTGGTTCAGCTAGGCCTTGTAGAAGGCTTAAGAACGGAAACATCTGTCGCATGAAATGTGGCCAAAGATGGTTTGATGACTTGGGCTATGACACAAGAGTCAATGTTGGCATTGAAGGTCAGCCTAAAACATTGAGAGCTGTGGACTCACTGGCGTGCGGGCCTTTCCTTCTGACAACGTTCCCCAGGTGTTTGTGCTCTCTTACTTTTCAATACCAATGTCTTAAGTTTCAAGCTGTACTTGCGAGAGGGGGAACAATCCTTCCGTCAGATATTTGGGAAGAAAGTTCGCACTGCATCCCAAGTTCCAAGTATGCCATTCAAAGGGGAAGGAGGGCTGTGCATGGCTCTCCTCCACCTCAGTGAGTAAGCAATCACATCTTTAACAACACCAGCCATAATGCATAGACTAGGAAAGCAGCTATTGGACAAAAGCCAGAACTTTGGTCCAAGGATTACTTCACAAATCCTTATTTCACTTGTTATTATATTTTTCAGCTTTCTTCCATCAGGATTATTTGTTTATGGATAATATAAACCCTCAAAGTATGAAAAGAGGGAGGGAATGCCAAGGAGCCCTGACATTCTGCATTTTTTAAAGGTATGAATGTCAATTTTCTTGTACTAATTAATGGATCAGATGGTTACCGTATGTAAACCTAAGATAAACAAAAGACAGGGGTTGTGCAGTCCTCCCCACTGCACAGTTTTCAGGATGAACATGCACAGAAGAAAAATTTCCTGATACTGAGACTTGAACCACATATCAAGTAGTTTCTGCCATTAACCAAGACACGTGCTCACATCAGAAGCAAAGTACAGTGGTGCCTCGCTTAACGGTTGCCTAGTTAAATGATGAAACCGCTATACGATGAGTGTTTTGCAATCGCTTTTGCGATTGCAAAATGATGTTTTAATAGGCAAAACCCGCTTTGCAACGATCTGTTCCCTGCTTCCAGAATCGATTCTTCACATTACGTTTTTAAAACAGCGGATCGGCGGGTTCAAAATGGCCGTCCACTGTGTAAAATGGCTCCCCCCTGTGATTTCGGAAGGATTCCTCCCTTTACAGGCACCGAAAATGGTCACCCCTATGGAGGATCTTCACTGGACGGTGAGTTTTTCAGCCCACTGGAACTCATTGAACGGGTTTTCAATGTGTTTCAATGGGAATTTTTATTTTGCTTAACGAGGATTTTGCTCTACAGCGATTTCACTGGAACGGATTATCCTCGTTAAGCGAGGCACCACTGTATTTAAGGCACTACCTACAGGTGTCATCTGCTGGCTCCTCAACACAACTACTGCTCCAGTGATTTGTTCCAATTACAGGACGGATTATGGAGGGCAGGGGAATGTGGAGCGATCTGGTTCCTGCTTTGATGCTTCTCATCTTCAGCTTGATCTATTTTCTCTCTCACTTGAGCAATCCTTCACGCTTCTCATCTTCAGTGTGATCTATTTTCTCTCTCACTTGAGCAGTCTTTTCACACTGGAGATGTTTATTCTCCTATGAGAAGCATCCCCACAGGTCATTGGTTCATTGGTTTACCTGTAGGCAAGCTAATTGTGAGCAGGCTACTCCTAAATGAGAAGGCTGCAGTAATATCAGCCAAGGACAATGGTATGACAAGTGGAAAATTTGGGGATGAAAGTTGGAGAGAGAAAAGGCAGGTAACCCTCAGCTGTGGGTCTGCTAGGGATGTGCTGCCATATGGGGGCAAAGCCCATAGAGCCGACATAGCCGTCTTCCCCACCTTTTCTCAAGACCATCATTCAGTGGGCCTCAGTAACTTTCCTTTGTTGCTGCGGTTGTTAAATGAAATAAGTGCCATATGAAAACAGCAGTGCATCAACCTAGAATGGTGTTACAATTTTTATTGTGTTCATTAGGAAAATATTACCCAAAAAGAGAGAGAGAGAGAGATGAAAACAGAGGAGGGGGTTTCTCTGTCCTCCCTTTTAATGTCATAATATATCACAGGGTTGCCATCTCAGATAATGTTGCATACATAATATATCATAGGGTTGCCATCTCAGATAATGTTGCATACAGCTCCCTTTGCGTGCAAAATAACCATTCACACAGGTTACAGAAAAGGATAATTAGAAACACTCTGAATTGTACTGAAACTAGAAACACATGTCGGTGAACCAAACCGTACCAAAAACAATCTATATAACCCTCTGAATGGACCTTGACCCTCTTCCACACTCTTAAGTAGTTCTTAATTTGTTTGTTCTTACCCACCCAATGCCTGGAACATTTATCCATTTCACTTTTTATCTGGGGCCCTCCCCCCCCAAAAAATCATTTGAAACACCTCTTGAGCAAGACAGGAGGATCCGCGAGGCAGGATTACGGGACAATAAATCTGTACTCCTTGTTTGTAGTAGCATGTAGCCATACCGTTCAAACTATCCATAAAACACATCTTTGCAACTTTTCAGTTAAACAGTGGTTGAAGTTTACTTTTTGAGAAATTACAGGTTTAATTTCAAAGCTATGAGCTATAAAATGCAAGACAGGATTATGTGTGAGAAACAATCTTCCTGAGGTTTAGATATAGAGGCCCCATGGCAACCAAATCAAGAATCGTCTGGAATCTAGTATTACCACACCAAGATACCTTTTAAGGACAAATAAAAGAGCAATACATCTATCACTTGGGGAGTTTTCATAACTTGAAAAACCCTAGTTGTGTAATCCATTTTTGTACTGTAGAGATATAGAAAGGATGCATCTAACAGGAAGAAATTATTATGAACATGCAGATGAACATTCAGAACACGGCCAAAGAGCCCGAAAAACCCACAACAACCATGCAGATGATTCTCAATACACACCCCAATAATTGTGACCAGTTCAGCAAACAATATGCACATTTCAACCTGCTTAGTTACACTGGCTTTCTCACGAGCATGGCTCTCCTAGATCCCATGCGTAGCAGAGTTTGAAAAAGTTATCTTTTGGAATTCTGATTTCCAGAATCCCCAGCCAGCATGATTTCCAGGATTCTGGGGATTGTAGTCCCAAAAGGGTCTCCCCCTCCCTTTAAAAAGGCAGCATTTCCAAACGCTGGGACTGAAGCACTAATAGACACATCGCTAAATGGCATACCTACCCCTTGATATGTTTATCTAAGATTAAGTGAGCAATTTCTTGGATCCTTTCCCCTGTATTTTACAACTCTGTGACAGTACCCTTCTTATTTTCCCATTTGAGCTGCACATCTGTTAAAACTCAAGAACAATGGTTGGCGCTGCTCAGAAACAGGAAGGGTAACACAATCACCTTGGATTTGTAGAGTTTTGTAATGCAAAAGGACTCAAAACTTCAGCTCAGCGAAACATCTGCTAAGCTCTTATACCATTAATAGAGGATACTTTTCCTGCTCTTTTAAGTGCCAACACAAACATTTTGTTTTAAGGCCAAACTGTGGCAAGTATCTGATAATGGCTCCTAATTTAAGTTGTTACAAAAGCTGATGAGATGCCAGGGAGATAAGCGTCCATTTATTGGCGTCCCTGCTTTCCTTCCCGGACAGACCACCTTCACAATATAACCAAAGCATGCCGCTTTTTTAATACTCCGTTGGGACTCTTAACTTTTCACTCACTTTCTGCAGCATGACACATATACGCCCCAAACGGCATAACTCTGAAAATGCACAACTTTTTTTTTTAATCAAAGAGACATTAAGGCAATTTAAGAAGTCAGATTTTTAAAATACAGTTCCAAAACCCCTGCACAGCATCCAGTGCCAAAATTAGCAGACACTGAAGGCGGCAAAATGAGACAGGTACGAATTTCTGTAACGACGCTCTTTTTAAAAAGCAAAAGTCACAAGATGCAGAAGAAAACGCCATTCACTTACCATTGACTTGGTGAAAGGCCGGGCCAACGTAAACAGCAAGGTATAGACCCACCAGTTGCGATGAAGGGAGGAGTACATCATGTTTCCAGGATGCACAGCATTGGATATCACCCCACAGGGAGAAAGGCGGCGGTTCAGCTCATTGGACACAAGAATATTGCAAAGCTTGGACCGGTTATAGGCCAGCATTGCCCAATACTCTTTCTTGGGGGGAGAAAGCATGTTGAAGTCCAGTTTTCCTGAGCTGTCGTTAATTTCTGTGAATCTTTGAGATACAAAGAAGAAAACAAATGGGTTTCTAAATAAAATTATCCTTAGGATGTTTGCTCCTGACATCAGTGTAGCAGTGCGCACTCTCTCTCTCTCTCTCTCTCTCACACACACACACACACATATATAAATCACACTTGTCCATTTCGGCTTTTCATAGTATTTTCATCCCCTTTACTTCTTCCCCTCATCTGCCATTCTCTACACTTGTCCATTTTGGCTTTTCATAGTATTATTTTCATCCCTTTTACTTCTTCCCCTCATCTGCCATTCTCTTGAACCTTAGGTCATGAAGAAGACCTGTTTACGGGTCTAAACTATGCCTAAAGATTTCCTGCACTTGAAACAAACAAGTAGACATTAAATCACACATGGGAAGGATGTAGGATTCTGCTACAAGATGTAACTAAACTTGTCTTCTTGAGCCTCACTAAATCTAGGAAAGAGGGAATTCAAGCCTGTGTCCACACACCTTTTTCCCCGGATGAGTGGGATGGTGGTGATAGTTAGAGATGACCACAAACCACCAATTTTCAGTGTTCAGTGCATCAAAGCTCTGCCTCCTCTGGCAGATACCCACTCAGAGGCAGTGCATGAGGAGGCAGGGCAGGGAGCCAGGATGCTAGCTGCCCGGCAGTACCAATCTTTTCTGCTCAGTTCTTTTTTACTCATTATATGTGCATGGTATTGAGCACAAGATGTATCCTGAAGACCATATCAACGATTGCTATTGGTGTTGTCGGCATTCAGGGTACCCTTTGCCACGTATAGCTTGGTATCTCTTTTCCTGCTGGCAACATGGGCATGATACTGTGCAGCAATGTTAGACCATTTCCTGGTGTTTTGAATCATGGATGCAGGAGCACAATAACCTATGTTCATAAACCAGGGGTTTCTAAAGAATTGAATCATCTCTTTTCCATATATTAGTCTCATTGTAGAAAGTCTGTTCTCCTGCATTACCTGAAATTCATCATTAGAGATGAGCATGAATTAAAAAAAACAAATCACCAAATTTGTTCAGAAACAGCCAATTCATCAGTTTGTATTTGTACGAATCAGTGCCCCCAACGAATGCAAATCAATTATTTTTTAGTGATTTTTAAAACATTGTTTGGCTATAAAATACCCCCCTAAGGAACTTAGCAACACTAGAATTACAGAGAAGCTTCCCCTGACTCTCCAGTACAATCCCTCTAAGTTTGTTGAAGATTGGGTTTCAGATGTCTGAGTTAGACAACCACAAAAGACATCCCCCCCCCACACCAGTTTCCCTCAGGTATCTAGAGAAACCAAAATCAACGGGAAGCTTCTACCGATTCTTCCTCTACAATCCCTTCAAATTTGGTGAAGCAGACAACCACAAAAGACATCCCCCCCCACAAAAGTTTCCCACAGGTATCTAGAGAAGCCAAAATCAATGGGAAGCTTCTACTGATTCTCCTCTACAATCCCTTCAGATTTGGTGAAGATCGGGTTTCAGACCTCGGAGTTATACACCCACAAAGAGGTCCCTCTGGGAAAGTTTTCCCCAGGCACCTAGAGGGCCAAAACTGCAGAGAAACATTCCCTGACTCTCTTCTAACAATCCCTCCAAGTTAGGTGAAGATTTGGGTTTCCCCCAAGTTAGCTACCAAGCGGCACTTTACTGCACAAACGTCCAAAACCCAAACTTCACCAAACTTGGGGGCCTTCTTTGTGGCTGTATAACACAAGCATCCAAAACCCAAACTTCACCAAACTTGCAGGGCTTGTAGAAGAGAGTCAGGAGAAGCTTCCCTGCGAATTTGGTGTCTTTAAGTGCAGGGGGGGGCAGTTTTATAGGGTTTTAAAGTCAAGCGAATTTGGGGTCTTTAAGTGCGTGTGGGGGCAGTTTTATAGGGTTTTAAAGTCAAAAACAAATTGACAAATCAAGTTGTCAATTTATCCAAAAAAATCGGAAATCCATAATTTGTGGTTTGTTGACCTTGACGAATCATAAAACAAAACGAATCAGCATTTTTTAAAAATTCATGCCCATGTCTATTTGTCATTATTCATATTCCTATTTAAGAATCCTATGGATACATGCATAAGTGAAGCTGCATCGGTTGGTATTTGATGGTGTTCCTGGTTGTGCACCTGGTCACAAGACAGGCTTACATAGCCCGGATGGCAAGTGGCATCTGGTTAATCAGCAGCAATTCACTACTGTAACTTAAGTGTGTTGAAGACATAGATTGTAGTCTAGGACACTGGTTCTTAACCTTGGGTTACTCAGGAGTTTTACTTAAGTGTGTTGAAGACACAGATTGTAGTCTAGGATTCTAGCCATCATAGCTTAAAAACGAAAAAAAAAAAATCAAGCAACCAGTAACTGTGTCAAGCAGAGACTGTAAATATGTCAAGATCCAAACATCTGAATTTTGAGACAAAGGCAAAAGGCGGCTTTCACCATGTATCTTCTCCAACACTACTTCTGCTGCAGTTTAAGTGTCAAAGTAACTTCCACATGAGACATGCTGCTGCTTGGATTCTTTTTAGATTAAAAATTGATGGCTAGGAAGGGGCTGTAACTTTGGTGATATGCCATCAATAGCCTTAAAGGTATAAAAGATAAATGTGAACAAAGTCAAAATGAGCTCTGGCAGAGCTTAATGTTTTTTAAGTATACCCATGACATGACTGCGCACAAATCAAAGTAACTAGTTGATGTTTTTTAATTGGGTCTGACAGAGTCATTAAACACCAGCTGTTTCTTTCTTTCTCTCTCTCCCCCCCACCTTTTAAATAACAACAAGGTAGCAAATAACGGAGGACTTCTACATGATATAAAGGAACATTTCTGTAGGCCTGTGTACTTAGTTTATTAAGCAGAATAGCAACAGGAAATAAATGTTAACATTGGTTCATGGAAGATTTTAAAGATTTAAAAAAAAAACAGATGAAACACACCAAGATTGCTTTCCAAATTTTGTTTGGCATGAACCACAAAATGCTAGTCCATGAATTTTCTCCCTTCCTTCCCCTTCTCCAAGCACTGGTGAAAACTCAGAATTACCAAAGGTAGCACTCAGCCAAGAGCCCCTGTAATATCAGTGATGATTTCTAAACAATATGCTTTGCGTGTTTTTAGAAGAGGTGCTCCTTCAATTGATGAAAGACATCCTTTTGTCACAGTATGGGATTTTCCTCATCTCTGTTGCATTTCGTGTGATTTGATTTCAGGACTGGCCATTACAAAGAGTTTATTAGTGGACATACAATGAACAATGAAGCCAACGTGCAGACATACAAATAAGGAATAAATAGAAGAAAGGATGAGACTGGATTGACAAAGAATGAGAAAAGGAGGAGTAAAAATCAGTACTGCAGTGGAAGACAGGAGGGCCTGGAGTGCTCTGGTCCATGGGGTCACAAAGAGTCGGGCACAACTGAACAACAACTGACAAAAAAGAGAGGAAAATGCAAGGGAAATTGCTTCTAAAACATGAGTGTCACCTATGATTCATGATTCACCATGTATCCTGGTTCCTGAACAGATCCTCAATCTTGTGAACTGCCAGGACTGAGTACGTATGCATATATCATTTGTTTCAAATGATCAGGGCATTATAACAACTTGAAACTTTCAGTGGAGAGACCTAACCATACAGTATATGAATATCCCCTAAAGTTGTTATCCCATTGTCAGGTCCAGCCATGTATCAGAGTTATGACACTCCAAACTCACTGTCAAACTCAGTTCTGGTGGAAAACTTCAGCTTCTCACTTTGGGTAAGAGAGATTCTTAGAGTGTTGTGAGTTTGAGTCCGTGCCCAACCATGAAACCCAATAGATAAACTTGCTGTCTGTCTTTCTCTCAGCTTCACCTACCTGACATGATTGTCATACAGATAAACTGAGGAGGAAGAGAGCTACGCCTGCTGCTTTAAGGCCAATGGAGGAAATGTAAGTGCTAGTGTTGGTACCGAATGAAGATTGATTGAAAATCTTGCAACACTGGCACACATTTGTTGGCCTTGGTGTATCAATGTATCCAAATACCCTTTCTTATGTAACAGTAGAAAATTTGTATTTGTCCCACGTTTGCACCTTTCCTTGTTTAGAGAGCCTTTCTGATTGCATCAGCAAAAGTATGCGCATGGCCTGATCCAGTCCTTAGAAGTAACATGCACAGTTGTAGAGAGGGTGGAGAAAACAGCAACCCTGCTCCCTTCCCCCTCGTGTACTCACAAGTACAGTAGTGCCTCGCACAGCGAGGTTAATCCGTTCCGGATTAACCCTCGCTGTGTGAAATATCGCTGTACAGAAAGAAAAAAGCCATTGGAATGCATTAAACTTAGTTTAATGTGTTCCAATCGGCTGATTTACTCACCAAACAGCGATGTTCCTCTATGGCCGGCAGCCATTTTCGTACCCTCCCCTCGCTTAACGAGGGCGCGAAAACGCTGCACGTGGCCATTTTGGGGCTTCCGGCGGCCATTTTGAAGCCGCGGAACAGCTGATCGCGGGTCGCAAAGCGAAGGTCAGTAAGCGAACCGCTTACCGCCCTTCGCTCTGCGATTTTCGCCCATTGGGGCTGTCGCTCTGCGATCACATTAGCGATCGAAAAAATGTCCCCCTAGAGCGAATTCATCGCTCTACAGGGCGCTCGTTGTGCGAGGCACCACTGTATCTGAAAAGGCTGCAAGGGAGCAGGGGGAAAGGAACCAATGTCCCAGCTTCACTTCCCATCAATGCTAAATCAGCAACTGGGGATCACAGGCATTGTAGTTAAATAACACCATGTGGCCCCCAGCTGTTTGCGTGACTTACCACTTGTAAGGGAAAAGCAGAACATACCCAAGGAGAAGGAAAAGAGTAAGACTCATGAAGCAGAGAGAAAAGAGAACGAAAACTGGGCCCCAGGATGCTTCCATATAACAAGACAAAGCAGCTAACATTCCTCCTCTGCTCATTTCTTGCAGTCCAACGCTCAAAACTAGCAGCCACTTCAAGTGATTGTTTTGTATGTTTCAATACGATTTAATGCATGACAAATCACTTAGGAAAGGAAAAGCAATTAGTTGTGAGGTCTGCACACACACACACCCCATTTAGTTATCAAGGAATATATTTCCATAAAACCTTGGCTGATCTCGCGCCATGAAGCAAGGAAGTAGCCAACCGTCTGTTGCCTACTTTTTGTTTTGTTTTTGTGGCAGTCTTCATTTCCAATCCAGCTTTCAAAGCTTTGCAAACATATCCTTGTGTTTTGTTACGGGGCAAGAGAGGTGGGGGGGGTAGGGACAGACAAAACCCTCCTCTGAGCAGAAAGTTGCTATTTAAAAAAACCATCCAATCCATGTTACCTAGAGAAACAAGCAGCTGACAATTCAACATAATCTACCATTAAATAACAGCTCATTTAGACATTTCCCATTGTGCCTTCCACATCTGGCAAGTGATTGGAGCTGGCAGATTTATTTCAAGCGCGAAACCTGCCCGCCCTGCGGTAGCCTCCCTCCCTTCGTAATGGGACTCTGCTACTTGCTTTGAGAAACCTGGTGTGATTTGCAAAGATAAGGGCATCCAAGATTTATTTATTTTTATTTCATGATTGGGGGACCACTTAATTACTCCATGTTTCATGTTCTCAACACTGGGGAGGATTATTCCAGGCCTTTTCTATTGCTTCCTTTCATTTCTGCAGTCATAAATTTTAAATGGTTAAAGTAAATCTATCTACAGTGTGTCATTCCTACCATAAGCCCTTATGTTGCCAAGTGATAAAGGGGTCCAGCCTGACCCTTGGCTGGTCTCTCCCTGCCAGGTCCCGGGGGTCACATTCTAGGGGAACATGATTTTTAAAAAAGCAAGCTCCATACGAGGTCATGGAAACATTTGCAGGGAAGCCGAGGGGACAGATTTTGCATTCCCACCGTGCTTAGCTCATACCTTTTTTAGAAAGCATAAGGAAACTTTTAAACATGTGCAAGGGATTTCTCACAAAGAGCAGAGGAAAGCATTAGCTTTGCTGGTTTTTCCTACAAGAAAACATAACTAAGCACTTACACAGCAGAACTACCAAGACTACGCTTAAAAAAATGGCTAAAATGGGATAGTTTCACACCATTATTTTGCCACTTGTCCTCCTGTGAAACCAACTAAAAGGTCATTGCATAGCATGCTAAAAATTAAAGAGGGTAGCTTTCAGAAGTAAGCCGTCAGCGATGCATTACTTCCCTTCTCATGTTAATAAGACTGCTTGCATTCTTGTCATTAATATCTCATCCAAAGCAAATATCCAAATTTGATTCAGTTTAGAAGCCTATTCATTCTAGCGTCTTTCTAATTAAAACAGTGCCTTCTTCTTGGTATGGCACCAGAGTTCTTAACTAGCCAAGATTATGCTGTTCGTAGTAATAATTAATCCATCTACTGGCAAAATCTGGCAGCAAACAAAACCATACCTGGATCCATACAAAAAGGGGGACTTCCCAGTGTTACAAGAGCCATGCTTCAATATGGCACCCAGCCTCTACAGCAGGCATTGAACGTTTATTTCCGCCAAGCTGCTCAGCGGGGTCAACTGCTAAGTTTATGGCTGACTAAAGACTTGCTTTTCTATGGGCTGCTCATTCAACCCTTCCATCAGAGGTTCCCATGGTTACATATCAGACATTTTGGACTTCATCTCCCATAACATTGTCAGGGCTTCGGGAATATGAAGTCCCAAAAAATTTAGGAACTGTTGCACTGAACTGTAAGTGAAGATTCCCCAGGTCCAGGACTCCTGTTGGTAACCACTGAGCCACACTACCCTCTTTGCATAAGATGGGTGAGCCCAGAGAGTAGGTTGTAGTTTTAACTATGGAACCAGCCTGGCTGTTGTGCCTCCCCAAAATTCCAGACTTCCCAGGGAAGCTGCAAGTCCACAAGGCTAGGCACTTTGAGTTGATAGGTATTTATTTAATTTATTTATTTTATACTGTCCATTTGGCCGAGTCCACTCTAGGTGGTTCCTAACATATAAATACCACCGTGTCCCATTTAACAAAAGAAAGAAGAAGAAATAATGAAATAAATTAAGCTCAAAGCCTAAAAATGCATCACAATAAAACATTTTAAAACAAGATACTCGCTTTGTGTGTGTGAGAGTTGCCACCACACCCACAGAGAACCCCAAAACCCAAGCAGGAGAAAAAATTAGATCTAGCACCACAACAAACCCTCTGAGTCAAAAACCCTGACATTTGGTTGGAGAATTTATATAGAATTTATATAGATTCTTCTTTGAGAAGAATAAAAAGGTTCAAAAAGATCTCAAAGCATTTAATGCAAAAAGCACTAGGATGCAAACCTAAGGACAATCAAGAGGACCCGCTATAAGTAAGAAACTGAAATTATTCTACTTAAACTCACTCACTGGCACGGAAGTCAGCATGTTTCTGAGGCATGTGCAGAGAGCATTCCCCACAGCAGAGCACCTTCTAAGAGTCAAGCTCAGCCAAGGTTTGAACCCCTTCTAGACCCTTCTGGAAAAAAAACTGCCAGTCGGGCTTTGAATTCCCTCAAAGGTTCAAGAAAAGAACAGCACTTTCTGGCCCCTCCCCTCTCACACAGCTGAAACCATTTTCCCAATTAACAAGGTCCCAGCGAACTGGCCGGGTCCGGCCATGGAGGCCTCTTTCTCTGGAGATAACCTGCAGGTTTTGCCCTTCCTTGGAACCAAGCGGACCCTGACAGTTGCAACTCTTAGCCAATTTCCCAGGCCCGCAAACAAAAGGACTATGTACTTTTTTCCAAGATGGATTCCAGATTTCCCAGTTTCACGAATATTTATTTATTTTTATCAAAACAGGACCATCTCGACCCCACTTTTTTGAAAAACTTTTTTGAAAAACTTAGTAACTCCTTTAAAAATGATTGCTTCTGCAATTGTAGTAGTTTCCCATCTTCTCTTCAGAGCTAGAGACGGGGAAATAAAACAAAACAGAAAGCACTGGAAATGTTCTGGCATCATTAACTGTGGCCAAATTCAGTTTCCTTATGGTCACTGGGCGGGGGGAGAAGGTAAGTGTTCTTCAAGAGAAGCCCCACCATTCTAAGAACTAACCTGTGTGATTCAGAGGAAACCATCACCACCCTCGCAGGAGCAGAACGACAAAGGACATCTTTGAGAAGCTGGATGAGATAGAAATGCCCCAGGTGATTCACCTGGAAGGTGGACTCCAGGCCATCTTCCGTCAGTTGCCAAGGAAGACCGAAAACGGCAGCATTGCAGATCAGCACATGGAGAGGCCTTTAGAAATATATAATAACAGAAGCACCGTCAGTGGTGGATGATGGATGATCATGCAATTTTGCAAAGAGAGTGGAAGAGCGTCTTGTTGAGATCCACTTATATAATTTTTTCACGTGCTGCATTTCTTCCAAAAGTGCAACCGAAGGTCACTTTAAAAATAAACAGAATTAAAATGCAGTAACCTACATATAATAATAATTATAATAATGTGTTGTCAAGTCAATTCTGGCTTATGGTGACCTTTTTTCAGAGTTTTCCCAGGTAGAGAGTTCTCAAAAGTAGTTTAACATTCCATTTTTCGGGGAACATCCTGGGTTTGTGCAGCTTGCCCAAGGCCACAGAGGTTGGCTCTTTTCCCAGGAGAAGGGAATCGAACTGCCAACCTCTCCAAACCACTGAGCTATCCAGCCACTACAAATACTTGCCTGTAATGGACCTACTGCCAGGCTGTATGCACAAAGCAGCCCTCTGAAATGTTATAACCCATGTTAAGTGTACAGTGGTGCCTCGCTAGACAGTTACCCTGCACGACAGTTTTTTCGCTAGACATTGACGTTTTGCAATCGCTATAGTGATTCACAAAACAGTGATTTCTATGGGGGAATTTTGCTGGGCAATGTTTGGTCCCTGCAATTTTCACTGGACAATGATTTTGACAGCTCCTTCCGTGGTCGCAAAATGGGTGTTTTCGGGACCTAAGCTTCACAAGACAGCGATTTAAACAGCTGATCGGCAGTTCACAAAGCGGCTTTGGCCGATCTTCGCTAGACAACAACGATTCTTCCCCATGGAATGCATTAAACAGGTTTCAGTGCATTCCAATGGGGAAATGCTTTTCGCTAGACAATGATTTCGCTAAACAGCTATTTCAGTGGAACGGATTATCATCGTCTAGCAAGGCACCACTGTACAATTATCCTGTATTCCATTCCCATGTCCTCATAACTTTACTATAAGCACACCTGGTGTGCATATAAGTCTGTGATGCAAATATTATTATCCAGGCATCTAAATAAGTGGTCTACAGTCCACCAACATTCAAACAAAATAACATTTGTTAGTTTTTAAAGTATCACAAGACTCCTGGATACTCTTGCTGTAACAGATCAACATAGCCACCTCCTTGAAACAAATTCAAGATACATGAGTTTTACTTAATTGAACTCAAGGTAATAAAATCGATGGGTCTTATTTTGCAATAACATATCTTTCACGTCCGCTCTTGATCCAACAATAATTCCATTCACATGTCATGCATTTTTGCCAGTAGAATTGGCAAATATATTCCAGGAAAATGCCAGTGCAATGTGTGCACTTTTTGAGCCGTTTTAAAAGTGAAAATCCTGCCATTTTGCTTACGGAACTATATATATATTATATTAGTTTAAAAGACAAGGTGTGGTAAGTATTATATAATACTTTTAAAGATGGAAAATCTTTATTTGAACATAAAAAGTTCATATATCCAAATGCATGTATGGACCAATGACTCACACATGTTGTTTGAATAAAAACAAATATCCTATACTGTAGATTTTCATCTCCCATTTTTCCATTTCAGTTTCAAAATTTATACAATTCATTACAGCATCAGAATGATTACTTATAGACATTCATGTCTAAGTCTTTGTAATCTAGTAAAACATAAAGACCTCTTCACATGTATGTATGTATGTATGTATGTATGTATGTATGTATGTATGTATGTATGTATGTATGTATGTATGTATGTATGCATTTGTTTGTTTGTTTGTTTGTTTGTTTGTTTGTTTGTTTGTTTGTTTGTTTGTTTGTTTGTTTGTTTGTTTGTTTGTAGGAATACAGTGGTTTATTTATTTATTAGATTTTTATCCTGCCCTTCTAGACAGGAGTCTACTCAGGGCTGTTCGCATGGCAGTGGAGTTTAAAACAGTCAGAACTAGACATTGGAGCTTTTTATTTATCTCCCAGGGGAGAACAATATGAAGCTGAGCGACACAGGTGGCTGGCGGGATTGGACCCTCCCTCCCCAAACCGGGCATCCACTTACCACTCACTACATACCATGCATGGATGATGTCATCAAAACCACACCAATCACGATAGGAGCCCAGCTGGCACTACCCCGCCTCCCTGCTTGGCTGGCCCCTCCATTGAAGGGACAGGGCGATGGGAAGGGACGCAGCTGAGAAGGGAGGGAAGGTAGCGCCAGCTGGGCTACCGTTGCAATTTACGCAGTTTTGATGACGCTGACTCTGCGCCCCGCACAGCAAGTGGTAAGTGGATGCCTCGTTCAGGGGGGAATGGTCCAATCGGGCCAGCCACTTGTGCCAGCAAACTTCGTATTCGTCTTCCCCAGGAGAAGAATACGAAGCATCCATGTTAAGTCAGAAATGAAAGCAGTACCATCAAGATTCAGTTACAAGTCCAGGCAAGTGAAACTAAAAGCGGCAGGGTGAAAACAGACACCAGGCTAAGATGCATCAACCCCCTTCAGGAATGAACAGTCACATCATCAGAAGAGAATTGATAGTTCCAGCAGTTATGGGATAGATAAATTCTTGAAGGGCATCTACTGAACAGCATCAGGAATGGAAGTTGACATTGATGGAGGATCTTCCACAGAGAACAGCAGTGAGACTCAGGCCAACGCTTGTTGGGTGCAGAAGACAGCGACGGCAAGCCACTTTTAACAACTGACAATCCAAAATACTGAACACTAAGACTCCCAGATGGTGCCGGAAGATGCGACTCCCAGGTCAGAAGGCACTTGGTCACTTACTGGGGGAGACCAAAGCTTGGAAAACTTTTATACCAGTGTCCAGGAAGCTGATCATACGAACAGGACACATTGAGTGACAGAAAACGAAGGAGAATTAAAAATCAACAAAAGATTTGGTTAGAAACAAAGCGAGACAGCAACTCATTTAAAAGATCTGTGAATGAAGAATGCCAAGGGTGTGTGTGAAATAGTCAAAATGTGTTGGGAAAAAGGTTTATGAATACTGTGGAATACCAGAAAGCTGCATACGTGGGTTCTAGATCAAATAAGAGTGATACACATCAGTGTAAGTGAACATACTGTAGGACAAGGCCTTTAACAGTCATTCCAGGTTAACAATTATAGAATTTGTAGCCCCTTTCGGGGAAAGTGCTGCTTTTGGAAAACAAAATTAAAATGATCTCTACAGAAGCATGTTTTTGGAAACTAGAAATAGAGACGCCATTGAGGGCCAACAGTGAGAATTCACACACCATTCAAAAGCATGTTTGTGGAAACCAGAAATAGAGGGCCAACAGTGAGAATTCACACACCATTCTCTTTACATCTCATTCTGTCTTTCAAATTGAACTGATGCAAAGGCAACAAATTGAATTACCCTATTTCATCTTCCACCAACGATCTCTCTGTTCATTTCTAATGCTAAACATGAACAAGTTAATGTTTAAACCCATCTGTGCTATATACACTCAATAGGGAGTCACATCCTATTGAACTTAAGAGCTTTCCTCTGGGTAGAAATGTACAGAACTGCACATTTCTACCCATCAAAATTACTGTTTACTGGGCAGCACCATATATTATAAATTGACAGAGTTTGTCTCCACCGTTGAGTGGTGTTGTGTGTCACTAAATATCTCACTGTGCGTTAATGGAATTTTGAACATACATAACTATCAATGCTGCCCATATAACATCAAGGCTCTGCTTCACAGCCGAAAAGGTGTGAGTGGATAAGGTAGATTTCATGGCCTAGATTTCATCAGGTTATTAAAACCTAAGCTATGTCCTACTCATGGGTTACAACCCTTAGAAAAATGTCCTATACCTTGCAGAAGCAGCCTGCAGTGATAACATCTTGAAAGGCCCAAAGGTAAATAAAAACATTAATGTAGCTTTTGAAATCTGCTTCAAAGCAGGCTTCCTTCACGTTCTTCTTTTTCCTGTTGACATTGGGAAGCAGCTCTTTCAGAGAAGAAGGGCTTCCTCAATTTGGCTGTCTCAGAGGCAGCACAGGAAGGAACTAAGGTCAAACAGGAGAAGGCTACGGGCAGAAAATGTTGGGTTCTCCAAAATATTACGTGACCCTCTGGCTGGGAAAGACAATAAAACCAACATGGGGTGTATTGTCTGGAAGCAGCTCCTATACAAGAGTTGAGAGAAGTGAGTCCCAGCATAGTTCACTGCACTGAATGCTGGGACTTGTAGTCCAACAGTATCTGGAAGGTCACTGTGTCCCCACCTGACCTTTACCAATAAGTATACATGAAGGGAGCCTGGACTTTGAGCAAAAGAGACAGGAAAGACCTCTTGGTAGTCTTAACGTTTGTAGAACGTTCTTGCATAAATACTACAGTGGTGCCTCGCTTTATGATTGCCCCACATAAAGACAAAACCGCATTACGACGATCTTTTTGCGATCGCAATTGCGATCGCAAAACGATGGTCTAAATGGTTTTTTTTTCACTTTGCGATGACTGGTTCCCTGCTTCAGGAATCGATTCTTCACAAAATGATGATTTTAAAACAGCTGATCGGCGGTTTCAAAATGGCCACCGGGTAAACAAAATGGCTCCCTGCTGTTTTCTGGGATGGATTCTTCGCAAGCATAGGCATCCTTCAGTCTCGAAAGACTATGGTAACATGCTCTGAATTGAGGAGTGTTCCCTCCAGAGCATGAAGCCTAGGTAAAGTAATATGGAGGATAGGGTGTTACCCAAGCAGCAGATCCCCCCTCTCCACATTGCTGAAATGGTCCAATGGAAAGGCAAGAGCCAATACGACTGGTTTCTTACAAGAAAGGCAGCAAAAATGGTTGCCCTATGGAGGCTCTTCGCTGGATGGTGAGTTTTGACCCCATTGGAACGCATGGAAGGGGTTTCAATGCGTTTCAATGTTTTTCCCCCCGCTTTATGATGTTTTCACTTAATGGTGATTTTCCTGGAATGGATTATCACCATTAAGCGAGGCACCACTGTATGCAATACTGCGCAATACTATGTTTATAGAACTATTTCATAAATACTATGCAACCCAGCATATATGTCAGTGTGTGTGTATGTGTGTGTGTGTGTGTGTGATTGTTAAATGAGTTTTACTAGTGTTTGTGTATAGAAAAATGAATAAGCAGTATTAGTTGCATATAAGAACATGTGTAACTAAGCACATTTTGTCTTGTTTCAGCCAATAGGCACTTAGATGGTTAACTGGCAGCCATAAGAAAAAGCGTCAATTAGTATGAGACTGATGTCTCTTGATAAATTAGTTTTTCAGTTAGAACTGTCTGCTCCTACCATGTTTTGGTGAAAATAAGACACGGTCTTATATTAATTTTTGCTCCAAAAATGCTTTATAATATGGCTTATTTTCAGGGAATGTTTTATTTTTTTTCATGTACAACCATCTACATTTATTAAAATGCAGTCATGTCATCTTATTCTGGTTGGTGCACAATGGTGGAGGGTGGGGTTTCACTTATGGGCTTTTTTGGGGTAGGGCTTATATTACGAGCATCCTGAAAAATCATACTAGGGGTTATTTTTGGGGAAACAATAAGCAGTCTGCTGTTGGTATGTTTGTTATTAGTCTGTAACAATTTGTAAGGGAGATGTTATGAAATTGCTAAGTATCTGTTATGAATCTGTTATAAGAAAACAAATCTATACCAAGTCAAATATTCCATTATTGTTAGCTTATTCTTCAGCATGTTTTAAAGTTACCATTCTTAAAGTTTACTGTGACTGAATGATTATTCTTTTATCTACTAACAGCCACACCCACATATATCAAGGGAGAATATGATTCGTAATCTGTGCAGTTTTTTTAAAAAATGCATGCTTAGTTTGCTGTGTGCAAACTCACAAAGACTCGGCAGATTGTACGAGAGTTTGGAAAGTTGTCAAACCTCCTTGTGGAAAAAGCACACAACTCAATCAGTTGCAGTTCAAAACCTTGAATTCCTTGGGGGGGGACCTCCTGATTAATCAGCACTGCTTCAAAAGGAAACATGGGTTCATAAACTCCAAGAATCAGAATAAGTTTGTTTCATATCTGTTCCAAATAAAGTGATAAACAAATTGCCTCTGCTTGCCCAAATATTTGTATCTGAATTTTTATTTTAGTTTGCTTTTAATCAATGGTTGTTTTTGTTTCAAATTCCAAGCCATTATATTGATTGTTATTGCCCTTTTTAATATTCTTCTAGTTTTTATTATTTTAGATTGAATTTTTAATTAAATTACTGTGCACCCAGACCCTTTAAACAGAACTCTCATTAGCTGTTCAAGCTGTAAAACTGCAAAATGCTTACTACTTTATTTTCAGCAAAAGATACTTTAACTGTACATATTAAATCATAAATATTTTACACGCTTATCTACTCAATGTGCCCCTCATGGCTGTTTAGGTTGTGCAGAAGCATCACAGCCCTTATCTGATAGAATGTGAATATCTCTTTAAAGTGCCATGCTCCTGTCGAGCTGCAACTGGTTCTACATGTCCAAAGTTTTGAAATACAAATAAAAATTCTGAACCATATCTGTTTTGTTAAGCTCTGAGGAGTGGGGATAGCTGTAACTGGATGGTCTAATGGTTAAACATTCTAATTTTAGAACATTAAAAGCAACAAGAACACCAGAAATATATCTAGTCCAACATCTTGCTTCCAAACAAATGTTTAGTGGAAGCCAACAAACAACGTATTCGGTGGCACGCTGCCTCTGAAGAACATCCAGGTTCATCTGGAAGCAGTAATAGATAGGCAATGGGATGTTACTACTTCTTCATTTACATTTCATATCCCAATAAATAATTCCAGAATGCCTGAGAAATAGGTTTCCCTTCCATGTCCTCCTCTATTTAGCGAGCCGAAACCTAGATTTTTGCTTTCTTATCTACAGGAATAAATGGGACTCCGAATATCAGGACTTATTATTACAGATATCTGGAAGGATCACATTTGGATTTAGATCTATTTGAAACTATTAGAATGTGACATTATTTGGTAAATTCCTAAAGCTTCCAAATCTGAATGTATAGTACATCCCTAAGAGTTAGCCCTAAATGACACGGATAGCGAATAGATAATTATGTTCACAGAATGTATGACATTATACAAGTATGATGACATTGCTGATCTGTTAAATATTAGAGCAACAATTACCACAATAGCATTATTAGTAGTAGTAATAGTAGTACTCGTAGTTGTAGTCATAGTCATAGTAGTATTAGTAGTATTATTAGGGAGAGGAGGAGAAGGACGATGCATTGAATCTTGTTTTGGGCAACTTACAGATTCTTGGATATGAAAGCATCAGCAAAATCCCGTATGCTCTGAAGGGATGCAAGATCTAAGGTCATTGCTTCTGCCTTCGCTTTGTGCTAAAATGAGAAAACATGAAGAGGGAGACTTAAACAAAAGCAACAGGTTTGGTTCACAGTATCATGTTATACCAAATGAGCAACAGCACATGTTTAAATTCTCTTGTTTAACATTAGAGCCTTACGGTAAAGATAAATCTACCTGGAGAGACACAGAATGTCATGCCAATTGTATTCTAACTGTGTAGCACTCCTAAACACACAGGGATTGTTCTCAGCAGTTTTTGATCCAGAGGACTGACAATCAGAGAAGCTTCTTCCCAAGCAACGTGATTTGTGAGGCTACAACATAGAGCTGGTTGTGATATGTACAACTAAGGTGCCATTAAGGTTTGGCAGATGACTAAAGGATGCCTGCCTCCTTACATCTGATAACCTCAGAATGAACAAACTTTGTTTCCTTAAGCCCTGTTCCATAATTCTCCACATTTCCCACAAACATAGTCGCATAACCCAAGCAAATTCCAAATTAAGCATAGAAACAATTAAAGTGGTGCCTCGCTAGACAGTTGCCTCGCATGACAGTTTTTTTGTTTTTTTTTGTTTTTGCTAGACATTGACTTTTTGCAATCGCTATAGCGATTCGCAAAACAGTGATTCCTATGGGGAAATTTCACTGGACAATGTTTGGTCCCTGCTTCGCAAACCAATTTTCACTAGACAACGATTTTGACAGCTCCCTCCGTGCTTGCAAAACAGGTGTTTTCGGGACCTAAGCTTCGCAAGACAGCGATTTAAACAGCTGATCGGCGGTTCGCAAAGCGGTTTTCCTATGACCGATCTTTGCTAGACAACCATGATTCTTCCCCATTGGAATGCACTAAACAGGTTTCAATGCATTCCAATGGGGAAATGCTTTTCGCTAGACGATGATATCGCTAAACAGCAATTTCAGTGGAATGGATTATCATTGTCTAGCGAATATATTAAGCTGAGTATTGATTTTACCAATCTTAGAAGGATGGAAGGCTGAGTGAACCTTGAGCCAACTACCTGGGATTGAACTTGGGTAGTAAGCAGAGTTTGGGCTGAAGTACTGCAGTTTAACCACTGTGCCATGACCCTCCTAGGTGGGTCTCCATGTTATAATTAAAAATATTTGGTGTGGAGTTTTGAAATAAGTGGCTGACTGGCTGCATGTTGCACATATGGGCTCCAATAACAGAACACATAGCATGGGCTGCCACCAACATTTGGCTCGAAGAAAAGTGCACAACAGAAAAAAATACGGGCCACCAATGGGTCTGTGCTTCCCACCAACATTAACTTGTAGCAGAGTTATCTTCCCTCTCTTTCTCCCTTTCTCTCTCTCTTTTTTAAAGCTTTAATGCTCGGTTCTCATGTCCAAGGGGAAAATAAAAAGAGTGCTACAAAACAAGGACAGCAAGGGGTCAAAAAACATCAAGTAGTTCAACAGACTAAACCACAAGCTGTTAGTTACTATGCTCTTGGGAACAGTGATTCAAGTCCACACACTATTACTCAGGTAATGCTTTGGCTTTTGGTGTCAGGTTGCAGGTTTCTGATACAGGCTGCAAGAGCGAAGAGGAAGCATCTGCAAGATTACATTGGTGAAGCGTAGATGTGTGTGTCTTTCAGGAGGAGGGAGAGAGGGAGGGATCTGATTCCTCCATTATTCGTTTGCAAAAAAACATAAGCAAGCGGTGCTTGTGGGTAGACTAAAAGCATTCAAAATGATAAATGGACAATTGTGATATATATAGAAATATATTCTCCACTGCCCAGATAATCAATGCTGCTTTATTTAAAACTCCTTTGTACTTTTCTAGCAGTTTAGGCATGCTAGACCAAAGGTTATCAGAAACAGTAAGACTAGCAGCAAGCATTCCTTGAGCAGCATTCCTTGAGAAGCCAAAAATGCAAATAATGATATGACATAATTTTGCAAAAAAATAAAATAAAATAGCTGTAAATTTCCATGTACATTATGGAGAAAAATCTGCCAGGAACTTCTTTTGTAAAAACGTTGGAGACACAAGGTCATTTCGGTGTGAATTTCTACATGTCTTCAATTCAGCCATTTCAAAGGGATTAATACCAACATTATGAGCTAACCAATGGAAAAAGAGAGGGGAATAATAGCTATATATTTACTGACTTTATATAATACTTTTCTATGAGAGCTCCTGTTTTTGCCCTCCTTTGGAAAAGCCTAGATCTGTTTCCACACTTTAACTAACAAGAGTTTATTGTTACTCAGAACTCCACCTGTGGTTTGCTTAAAAAAAATGAACCACTCTCTGGCTGATTATGGTTTGTTCTCCAGGCATTGTTTGAACTAATCAGAGTACAGCTCCACTGACAAATAATTTGGATCTAATGAAGAGATCTGGTTAGTTTCCTAGTAAACAGGATAATTTAGTTGGAAGGTTCCTATAAGGCCATCTAGTCCAACCCCCTGATCACGGCAAGAAACAAAATCAAAGCAGATCTGACAGGTGGTTGTCCAATTTTCTCTTGAATGCCTCCAGAGTTGGAGCACTCACCACATCCTAAGGTCATTGATTCCTTTGTCGTACTACTCGTCTGACTTTCTCAGGATGCTGATGGGTGAAAAGTGAAGGAGGTACCCAAAATCCCAAAACTAAATGGGCCTGGAGTTCCCCAACAGATCTCCAATAAGGACACTGTTTGATGGGTTTCTGGATGGCTCGTTGCTCGCATGATATTCACACTCAACTGTTGTGAGATCTAAGATTACCATGTCTCTAGATTAACATGACATCCCATATAATTGGTTCTCAATGAGTGGAACTTGATTTAGCAAGTTGTCATTGATTATTTCATTTGAGAAAGGCCACCTGTAACAAATGGATTTAGGCAGCGATTCTTCTTACAAATAACAGGCATCTGCAGTAATTCTCCTAATCACATACCTTTTCACCCACCAGTATGCTATAGGAAAGATTTTGTTTTTTTAAAGACCTGCGAGTGTGTGTGTGTGTGTGTGTGTGTGTGTGTGTGTGTGTGTGTGTGTGTGAGAGAGAGAGAGAGAGAGAGAGAGAGAGAGAGAGAGAAAATTTGGATTTTGTTTCTATTATGGTGAGACTCAGATTCTCAGACAGAATGATTGGTAGGCTATAAGACAAAATGTTGGAAGTTGCTGCTCCAAAGATCCATAATTTGCATTATCCTCATCGTCCATCTCCAGCGAAAATCAACTAACCGAAATGCAAGCATAGAAAACTGTTCTCCCCCCACCTCAGACTCTTTCCTGGGGCGAACGGCACTAGATAACTCTTATTTAATTCAAGAAATGTTTTCTGTTACATAGAGCAAATCTATTAAAACTGCTTAGAATATAATTGGTAATATTTTGCACTCAAGCTTAGAAAAATGCTTATCAAGGCAGAAGTTTAACCGGAAAGTGAAAACACTCAGAAAGCTAGCAACTTCATGATATGCAATGTACTCACTTTACAGCTTAAAAAACTGTTTAAAAATGAACATTGCATGGTACAGTAGCTTGGCAGTAAACATGATTGTGCATTTATGTCTCGGCACTGAAGAAGAAGCCTTTTTTCAACACATGATTTTTTATTCTAATGCAAGTGATGATTTACATTAAATATAGGTAAAGTGTGGTTACATTTTCCTGAAGGATTGGAAGGAAGCGAAGAGAAGTACAATAAGTTGAAGCATAAAAGCTTAAACCATCATAATATTTATTATAATGGCATATAAAGGAGCTGAAATAAATAATAGATGACGAAAGGTAAATTCACATGATAAAGAATGCTTCAGCAAACGCCATTACTTGTGGCTGCTATAGTTTTATACACAGTTGAAGACTCTTAATAAATAAGCTGTAGTCTCCATAAGTTATATAAGTGCTGAGGAGGGTGTGTGAACGTGCAAAATGTACTTTAAAAGGCGGAGAGTGGGTGTTAGATAATTTATCACATAATTTTGTTTTTCACAGTAGTCAATATGATGTGTTTTTGGATATTTAAAAAGCTTGATTTCATTCACACCTCAAAAATTACTCTAAGAAGCACAGATATTTCTTCTTGTGTGGAAGAGAAAAAACAACTCCAGCGCAAACAAGAAAATACCAGAGGTCTAATGCTTGGTCCACGGGCCAAACCGAGAGGACAAGGCAGACTTCTGCACAAAAATAAATTCCCTTTTGAACGGCAGAGGAGCTGCAGGAGAGGCGAAAAGATTTTTGCCCTGATTTTTTTTCCTAACAGGTCTACCGTATGTAAATCCATAAGAATCAAAATTGAATTGACACTAGCTGGAAAGACGAGGCAGCACAGACAAATTAAATCCAAGCTAGGGTGTGCCATTAGAATAAAGCGCAGCAATTCTGATGCATGCGTTATGACAGTCAACAATGTCTAGTGATAGCTGGTAATGATGAGCTCCAGAGAAGATGGATTTTAAAAAAAAGAGAAAGGAAATGCTTTTATTCTAGTTTCAGGCTGTAAATATTATGCTCCCTAATGCATGCACTTGGTGCAGAAGAGTATTTATGTTAGGCTGGCTTTATAAAGTCATGCATGTATTTCGAATGCTATGAGATTACTTTTCAGCGCACTGAATGGAGCAAATGAATCACATGGTGCAAAGCTTTAAGGCCAACTGAAGATATGTTGTCTGTTTTCAAAATAGGTTCCTTTACAGCATTTGAGATAACTTACGGAAGGCCATTAGGGGCCCTAGTGGATGGAATAATTTTACACTCATTTTTTCTCCTTTTTCTCTTTGCCTCAGCTATTTTCCTAAAAGACATTTCACATTTTTGCATCTCGGATGTTTAAAAGGTGCTTCCCTTAAGAACAACAACTTGGCGGCCATTTTTTGGGGGGGGTTGTTGGCTGTCTTCCTGACACCTTTACAGAGGCTTGGCTGAGAGAGAAGGCAAATCAGCCACTATTGAAGAAGCCACATAGGAGCCTGGTGCGGCAGTGGTTAAACTGCAGTGCTGCTGGTCAAGACACTGCTCAAGATCTGAGTTTAATCCCAATGGGTTC